CTTCATGTTTCCCTGTCTGCAAAGTGATTTCACAACATGGGAAAGTGGTTGGGAGGCAGATAGGGATAATCCACTAATCATAGCACTTGGCACCTTGTAAGCCTCAATAAATAGTAGCTGTTCTCACTCTTTACTTTCCCTCTTGGGAAAGTGCTATGCACATGTGAGAACATTCTTAGAAAGTGGATAGCATTGTCCCCATTTTCTAGATTAAGGACCCTGAGGCTCAGAGAAGTTAAGGGGCTTGCCCCAGGTCACATAGCTAGAAGAGAAGGGTTTTGTTTGATACCCAAGCCCAGCCTCTTCCCTCTGTCCCAGTTTAGACCCCCACTCCTCCTTCAGAGTTCCTGGGGGGTCCCTATCCCCCACCTCTTCCAGCAGTGGCCAAAGATTCCAGGGATCTGGAAGTACAAGCCCTGGGGGCTCCAGCAGCAACTTGCTGGAGCTGGTGAGCTAGGGCTCAGCTTCCCCCACCCACCATTACCCCTACCTTTGCTGCCCCTGCTCCTCCCTTGCTCACCCCCATCCCCTGCGTAGCAAGGGTTACACTCAGTTGGGTGACTTCACCCAAGCACTGAGGTGGCTTGAAGCCTTCCACATGATCTGTACAGAGTGCTTTGCACTCAGCCTTGTCCTGCAAACTCTGGGCCTTGGTCACAGCCTCAGTCCAAGCCAAGGTCCCCTCTAGACCAGTTCACTCCTCCATTCACTCATCCAACAAATACTTATGTAGCTCCCTGTAGCTCCCTCCAGAGGGCCTAGGTGGGTGAGGCCCTGCCCCTGCCACACTCATTGTCTGGTGGAGGCCTGGATCTTGGAATAGAATGGGGTATGTGCTGACATTAAGGAAGGCGCAGAGGCTGCAGAGGCCAGGAGTCAAAGAGTAGGAGTCCAGTAGGCAAAGCATTTCCAGGGAGGGGAGCAGCTTGGGTGAGAGCCTGGGGGCAGACAGGTTGGTTTCACCACCTCTCTCTCTCAACGCTGGGGCTGTCAGGCACCCCCACTTGGGGTTCTATCCTCACTTTGTCCCTGTTGCTGGTCCCTCCTCCCTCTTCTCCTGATCACACTGTCAGATTCACCTCCACACAGGACAATGCCATAGCCAGCTCCCCGTTTCCTGCCAGAACTGTGCTCCCCACTCTGTCACTCCCTGAGCCCCAGATCTTTCCCCCAGTGCTCCACCCAACAGTCCAGCCTTCCCCAGCCCTGGAGGGCTAGGGTCCCTACACAGACTGGGGGAGGGGAAACGGCCTTTGAGGTCCTGGGGCTCCCCCCCCGACGCTCCTCTCCCACCTCCCCAAGTTGCCTTTGCCTCCTCTGAGTCTCTGCGTGCTTCTCTAGACCTGTCTCTCCTTCCTGTCCCAGTTTCTATCTCTCCCCGTGTCTGCGGGTCTCTGGCCGTCTCTTTCTCCCAGTCTCTCTCCCCGTGGCTTTTTCCCTCCCGGTCTCGGGCTCCATCTCTCCCCGTCTATCCCTCCCGAGGCCGGGAGGGGGAAATCGCTCCGTAAATAGGCGGATGGCCCCGGGCGCTCCGGGCGCAGACACTCGTTTTTAGAGCCGGTAATTGACTCCTTTCAGTTGATAATTCATGGCTTGCATATGCGCTTTAATGCGGGCGCCCGGGGAGGCGCGGCGGGCGGGGCGGCCTGAGCGCGCGCGGCGGGCGGCGCAGCGGCCGGGGAGGGAACCGGACTCTGTCGGCCGGGGTACGCCAGAGGAGGGGGCCTCCGCCGGGGTCTGTCCGCCCCGGCCACCCGAGACAGCGCGGATGACGGAACTGGAATGCCATGGGTAAGGTGGAGGGGCCCGGGTCGCCCCTGGGCCGGTGAGACAACGCGGGGCTGACTGCCAGAGCCTTGGAAATGAAAAGCGGGGGAGGGGTTGGGGACACGCGGACACCTTCCCCCGTGCAGCCACAGTGCAAACGGAGGCCCGGAAAGGGGATAGCTCTTACCTGTATCCCACAGCGCAGAAACAAGACCAGAATTCAAGGCACCCCCTTCCCAGAGTGTCCTAGTCAGGGGCCTCAGTGCCAGCCTTTGTAGACACCCCCTCCCACCAGAATTCTCCTACATAGAAGGTAAATTCCTCCCCCGGAGTGACCCACCACCCTGTTGCTCTCAGGCTTCCCTAGGAGGAGCTGGCTCTTCCTGGTGAATTCTGGACCCTGACACCAGACCTGAGGTGGCCTCTCACCCCAGCAGGGGCTCCCGGGCTGGGGAGGGGACCCCAAGTCCTCTCCCACCCGGCCTTCACCCACTGTGGATCGGTCTCATCCTGCAGCTGTAATCATTTCCAACTCACAAAAGAAACTGAGGCTCAGAGAAGCTGGGAGGCTTGCCCAAGGCTGCAGAGGAGGCAGAGAAGAAGTTGGGCACATGTGCACCTAGATCAAGGATTCCTCAGTGGGTGTAACAGGAGAGGGAAGGGGAGAAGGAAGGCAAGGTCCTGTCCCTGGACATCCCATCCGCACCAGACACAGCCTCAGCTGCTATGGCAAAAGGTGCCGAGGAAGCCAATGACCTGCCCACAGTCACACAGACCAGGCAGCTGAAAATGGTGCTGGCAGGTAGTGAGAGGCTACAGGTCAGTGCTGGAGCTGGAGCTGGAACTGGGGAGGAAGGCAGTTGTTGACCCAATTATCAGCTCAGGAGAAACAAGAGAAAGCCCAGCCTGGAGGGAAATCTGGCCTTAGGATGGGCTTCCCATTTACTTGGCCCCTTGTCCAGGTATCTGCCACTGTCTTTCCCCAGGCTAATGTCAGACAAAAGTAGAATTCTGCCCCCTATCTCTTATAATCTACTAATGTGTAAACCAACTGGTTTATTCCTATGTCCCCCTATCTCAGTCTCCCCATCTCTAGTTTTCCCATCTGTGCAATGGAGTTTACGCTGGGAAAGTCCTGCTGACAGTGGATCCGAAAGCTGAAGGCCAACTGTCTGAGCTGTGTGAAGCTCAATGCTGCCCCCTGGTGCCCAAACTGTTGCAGCCAGTGGGAGTGAGAGAGGAGGCAGGAGGCACTTGAGGTAGAAAACCTCTGCTCTTCCACCCCCATTTTCTCCCAGCCTCTTAGACCTCCCATCTATGGGGGAGAGAGAACAAAGCAGGAGCCCTGCTAGCCTTGTCTGAGGAGAAACCATGAGGTTTCTTCTCCAGCAGAGGGCTCAGATTCTGATAGAGCCTAGAGAGAGGTAGAGGCCACAGTGAGGTCAGCAATAGCCCTGTCTCACCTGCACCTGGACATCCCAAATGGTTCCTTCTGTGATAGGTAGAGTCAGGGATTCCCTTCTAGTGTGGTTCCTTCTTTAATTTGTTTTAAAATATTTATTTTGGGGGGGCGCCTGGGTGGCTCAGTCGGTTGAGTGCCCGACGTCGGCTCAGGTCATGATCTCACAGTTCATGAGTTCGAGCCCCGCGTCAGGCTCTGAGCTGACAGCTCAGAGCCTGGAGCCTGCTTCGGATTCTGCGTCTCCCTCTCTCTCTGCCCCTTCCCCGCTCATGCTCTGTCTCTCTCTGTCTCTCAAAAATGAATAAACATTAAAAAAAATTTATAAAATATTTATTTTGGGGAGGGGAGCACACACGTGGGATGCCGGGTGGGGGGGAGAGGGAGAGAGAGAATCCCAAGAAGGCTCTGCACTGCCAGTGTAAAGCCCGGTGCAGGGCTCAAATTCAGGAACTGTGAGATCACGACCTGGGCCAAAATCAAGAGTCGGAAGCTTAACCAACTGAACCACCCAAGTGCCCCTGGTGTGATTCCTTCTTAGTTAAACTCGGGTCTTTTTCTGCCTGAAATTCCATCATTTGTGTTCAGAGGAGGCACTCAACAAATGTAGGATGGATTGATATAGGCAAATGGGTGGATGGATGAAATCTATTCCTCTGCATTGAGGTATTATCTTCAGAAAGTCTGTGCTATCAAGCACAGGAAGGAATGTGTCCACCATTAGCTTGCCTGGCTGACTGGAAGTAGGACTGTAAAGTGGAGTGAGATACAGAAAGGGTAAGTCTTAATGCAGGAGGACCTCAAGAGAGTTCAGATGAATGGAAGGTCATGGAGGGAGTTGGAGGGATCAAAGAAGACTTCCTGAAGGAGGTGGCATTTGATGCAGGGTTTGAGGGACAGAGAAGACAGTGAACGTGTTTGGGTGGTGGGAACAGGATGACAGAGGCACAGAGGCAGAAATGTAAAACATGCTTGTGGTGGCAAGAAGGCTCCAGGTTGAGGGAAGGGAGGGAGGCTGTGCTGTGGTGGAGCCCTGGCAGAAGAGGCTGTGGAGGATCTTGGGAGCTGCTGGCTGCCAAGCCAAGAAATTGAAGCTTTGCAGGCTAAGCACTGGACTGTGAGCCTGCGTCTGGGTCCCAACCTTGGGTCTGTTCTGACTGGGTTTCACTCCCTTGGTCCTGCTCTTCGGAACTTTCTCTAGACAACAATGGGAGCCATGGCAAGTTCTAGATCAGGGAAGTGCCTAGAAGTCACAACTCACAGAATAGTCAAGTTGACAGGTATACCATGGACCTCATCACATCTAACCCCTTCAATTTGTAGATGAGAAAACTGAAGTCCAGAAAGGAGAAGCAACTTGCCCAGCATCACACAGCAAGCCAGTGGCAAAACTAGGACTTGAACCCAGGTCACCAGCCTCTTTGTTTGGGGCTCCTTCCCCTCTGCTGCAGTCTGGGATATCATCTGGGGGACTGAGCTGGAGGAGAATAGCTGGAGGCAGAAGGCTACCAGGAGGCTAGAGCCCCACCTAGACCAGAGATCACAAGGTCAAGCAGTCAGAAATGTTTATTGGGCCCTTTCACCCTGTGCCCCATCTTGGGCCAATGTGAGGAGTCCATGTGTTGAGTACCCACACAGAGGAATGACAAAGAAAAGGAATGTGGTGGGCCTCAGGGAGGAGGAGACATGAGGCAGATATGGTATTCATGAAAAGGGGCATCAGGAGCAGACTTGGATGAGGATGAAGAAGGCCTCCGGGAGAAGGAGTGGCCAGTCACTTGGGTCCACTGTGGTTCTTGGCCAAGGTCTCCACTTCTTTCATGAACCGGAGACACAGCTCCTCTTCCCATGGAAGAGCAATGCACTGCACAGCCACAGGAAGTCCCACAGATCCTTGTATCGCCTGCTCAGAGAGGGGGTCAGTGGACTTAGAGCCTGCTTTCTGCTCACAGGTCCCTCGCCCAGCCTTCCTTACCACCCATATGCATTAGTCCAAACATCTCATCACCAGTCTATACTAAGGCAGAGATGCCCTGGAGCTCAGAGTTCCAGGCTTCCTCAACTCTCAGGGAAACCTGGAAAACCTATTCTGACTGTATCGGTCTACAGTTCGCCAGGGCTAAGATGTAAAACTTGCTCCCCATGCACAGAACTGACTATAATCATAAAATATAAAACTGTTAATTAAAAAAAGTTTTTTAAAGGGGCCACCTGGGTGGCTCAGTTGCTTAAACATCCAACTTCAGCTCAGGTGATGATCTTGTGGTTAGTGAGTTCAAGCCCCGCGTCAGGCTCTGTGCTGACGGTTCAGAGCCTGGAGCCTGCTTCAGATTCTGTGTGTGTCTCTCTCTCCACCCCTCTCCCACTTGAATTCTCTCTCTCTCTCTCTCTCAAAAATAAACATTAAGTTTTTTTAATAAAAAGATTTAAAATTTTTTAAAAAATACAAAACTGAGTATCCACCTAATGTTCTCAGCAGAGGAAATAAGAATGTGCAAATCCCTGATCTAGAGCCTAGTCATACTTCTGCAGTGAAGGGGGTACTTGGGCCTCAAACACAGACTTAGGAACATGGGGACTGATCCTAAGTCCTGCCATGAAATTCAAACATAGGAATTCAAACGTGTTTTCATTGTTTTATGAAAGCCCTTATTTGCCTTTGCTCTGGAGCCAGGTCAACTGGCTTCAAGTCCTGGCTCCTCCACTTCAGCTGTGTGTGGCACTGGTCAAGTCTCTTAACCTGTGTGTGCCTGCATTTCCTCATTTGTAAAACCTCACGGGACAGTTACGGGATTTAATGATTTGCTATATATACAGCACTTCTTAAACAGCTCCTGGAACAGAGTAAGAGCTCAAGACACATTAGGTAATAATGTGGGTAAGAGCTCAAGACACATTAGGTAATAACAATCCTTATTGTTATTTTCTCAGAATTCAGGTCAGCAGTTCCACTGGGTAACTCTAGCAATAAAATCAATTTCCAAAAAAGTAAGTTGCTTAATGTCTGACTCAGACACATGCATACCTTTCAAAGTCAGTCTCTCTCTCCCTCTCTTTCTCCCTGTCACCCAAGACAGGCTTGTCATTTTAGACCGTGCATTAAATAGGCCCATGGAAATATTTCCTTCTGTGAAGCTACCTCGGAATCAGTGATATAGTAGCATGTATTGTACACGTCCTGTATACAAAGCCTTATGCTAATTGCTTCACTGTTTTTCAGTGGAAACTTTAGGACAACCTGCAAAGCAGATATTTTAATTCCTATTTTCCTGGCAAAGAAACTGAGGCTCAGAGAGGAGCAGTGTCCAATCCAGTTACATACTAAGCTCCTCACCAGGGACATTTGCCCCCCTCTTCCTGCCTCTGGGATCGACTTTTCCTAGGGAAGTGTCAAGAAGACCAGTGGTTTTGTTAAGTATTCTCCCACGACAGGGACAGAGGCGGACTTGGAGATAAAACGGTGTGTCCTCCAAGATGAGATAACACTGTAGCAGAAGTGATAAAGGATAAACACTAGGAATGGCTGGCCCCACCCTGCCCCAATTTGCCCGACTGGGATTGAGGCAAGAATCAGTCCTGGCTTGTGCCGCTGGGGGAGAGGCATGGGGAGGGAAACTGACCCTCTGGAAATTTTTGTCGGTACTATCTCTGTAGTATCCCGTGTAGAAGGCCAGTTCCTCCTCGTCCTGCGGCGTCACAGTGGTGACCGGCACAACGCCAGCAGGGAAGTTCAGGATGTTGTACAGGCCCATGTAGGAGGCAATATCTGTAGGAAGGTCCAGGCAAGCCCAGAAAATCATCAGCCGACAAGACTGAGGTGGGGAAGAATGCTGGGTGAGCGCCCCCTCAGGGTCCTCCTTGGAACTGTAGCACTCTGGGCTTGCGCGGCGCTGGGAGTGCACCTGACAACTGCCTCTCGCTCACCCCGCGGTGGAGGGAAAGAGAGAACGGACGCTGCGGAGGCCTTACTCAGTGCCAGGCCCCGTGCTGGCCTCTTTCCACTGCTGATTCCTTGAGTCCTCTCCACCCCTGGGAAGTGGAGAGTACTCTTTCCTGTGTTCAAATGTGGAACCCGAGGGGGTAGACAGGTTAGGTGGTTTTCCACAGGCCACACAGCTGGTGGGTGACAGAGGAGTCAGCCCATGCCTGCAGTACACTGGGCTCCAAGATGGCCCAGGTGTGCAGGGCCACCCTGAGTTAAAAGGCAGCTCCCCTCTGCAACAGCCACCTGCATGTAGGGAGTGACTGTCAAAGAGGCAGCGGTGACAACAGAGGACATCAGTGCAGGGCCAGGTATGGGATGTGCCTTTGGGCAGCCACTGTGGGGGGACCCGGGGCAGAGCAGTCCTGGCTTGAGGTGGGTTTTCATTCTGCACTGAGAACCCCTCTGAGACCTGTACCTGTGCTGGGCAGGGGCCCCAGCAATGTCTCAGACACTGCCCTGTGCTGAGGCTGCATCTCAGGGGGGCTAGGCCAAAGCCACCTTTTGAAGTGAGGCAGCAGAAAGCATGTTACGAGTGAATGGATATGCTAAGTGAAAGAAGCCAGACAGAAAAGCCTTATTCCTTAGGATTCCATTTATGTGAAATCCTAGAAAAGGCAAAATTATAGTGACAGCGGATCAGTGGTTGCAGGATGTAAGGGTAGAGTGAACTGCAAAGGGACATCAGGGAGATTTGGTGGGTGATGAAAATATTCTATTTTTTTTTATTTTTTTTAACGTTTATTTATTTTTGAGAGAGACAGAGCATGGGCAGGGGAGGGGCAGAGAAAGAGGGAGATGCAGAATCCAAAGCAGGCTCCAGGCTCTGAGCTGTCAACACAGAGCCCGACGCAGGGCTCGAACTCCCAAATGGCAAGATCACGACCTGAGCTGAAGTCGGACACTTAACTGACTGAGCCACCCAGGTGCCCCAAAATATTCTATACTTTTATCATGGTGGTAGTTATACAGCTATATTTATTTGTTAAAATTTATCAAATTACACTCTGAAAATCGGTGAGTTTCATTGCATGTAAATTGTATTTCAGGGGTGCCCGGATGGCTCAGTCAGTTGAGCGTCCGACCCTTGATTTTGGCTCAGGACACGATTTCATGTTTCAGTTCCTGAGATTGAGCCCCGAGTCGGGCTGACAGCATGCAGCCGGCTTGGGATTCTTGCTCTCCCTCTCTCTCTGACCTTCCCTTGCTTGCACTCTCTCTCTCAAAATAAATAGATAAACTAAAAAAAAAAAATGTTTAAAAAAATTTGAATGGGAGGGGCACCTGGGTGGCTCAGTGGGTTAAGCATCTGAACTCTTGGTTTTGGCTCAGGTCATGATCTCATGGTTTGTTCCTTAGTTTGAGCCCTTGTGTCTGGCTCTGCGTTTGGCTCTGTGCTGATAGCGCAGATTTTTCTCTCTCCCTCTCTGCCCTTCCCCCACATGCATGTGCTCACGCGCGCGCTCTCTCTCTCTCAAAAGGTAAAATAAATAAACTTAAAAAAAATGAAAAATACAAATAAATAAAAGGTAATGGGAAAACTTGGGAGTGTCTGCTAACAGGTACAGGGTTTCCTTTCAGGGTAATGGAAATGGAATTAGATAGTGGTGGTGTTTGCACCACACACTAAATATACTAAAAACCACTGAATTGTACACTGTAAAATAGTGAATTTTTGTCATCTGAATTTTATCTCAATTTAAGACATTGCTTTAAATACTGAATGGTGACAGAGGTCAAGGCCTCAGAGGCTGTGGCAGGACTCTGAAGTCCTGGACTCTGGGTCTCAACTCCACTAAGACCTGGTGTCCTCTCACCTGTTCCTATCTCAGAATAGCATATATGGAAGGCGGGGTCCATAGCTGGCATCAGCAGCACGTCCAGGTCCAGGGACCTCCACTTGGCTATGAACTTTTGCTGATATTCCTGCAGGGATAGTGGGGTACGGGAGGGGCAAGACCAGCAGAGGTCACTATTTGCAGGACAAGGTCAGGGGCTGCCAGGCCAAGTCCTGTTAAAGATCAGGAAGAATCCCCAGGCTGTAAGATACAGACTAAGCTATCTGGGGAGGGTCAGGGCCTTCCCAGGGGCCGAGGTAAAGGGATGGCAAGGGGAATCTCAAGCTGCAGTCATTTGGGAACAACATATCATCCTGGCCCCCAAGGAAATGGACTAAATTAACCTCCTGGGTCACCAAGCCTCCCCATTTGAGTTTAGCCGGGCCTCCCCTGCAGGCTGGGACAGAGCTCTACTCCCTGTCTGGCTACTCCTGTCACCACTCAGGCCTCTGCTGCCCCTGTTCCAGCAGTCCCTTGTCTCTTCAGGCACACATCACCTGCACTGCTGCGTGCTGCTCCCACAGTTTCTTGGGAGTCCTGGGGGAATAAGGAAGATTCAGAATTCCAAAGGTCAGCATGGGATTTTATACAAAATGGGGACATTACAGCCAAGAGCTAGAGCCTAGTCTCAGTGCAGGCTACAAATCAGCTGATGGGCTGGGATGACCCTTGTCTTATTTGCTGTCCAAAATACCTTGCCTACCCAACGTTCCCAAGAGTACACACCCTCTGGTTGATGCCCTCCCCCCGCCACCGTCACCAGCCACAGAGACTCACAGCCTCCCCCCAGAGGAGGGTTCTTCCCCTAACCTGTGAGGCCCCCCAGTCAGCCCTCAGGCTGACCATTTCCAACCTTGACCCCAACCCCAGCCCAAACCCAACCTCAGATTAGGCCCAACTTTTACCCTAAGCTAATTCTAGCCAGAACTCAGAGCTTAACTCCAAATCAAACCTCAGGCCCAAAGTAGCCCCAATCCCAACCCCACTCAAAAGTCTAAATTTAACTAGTGTCAGACATGACCCAAAAACCTAATTAGATCCCAAAGTCTAAATAGCCCTCACCCTCAGTGGATGCCAACTCTAGCCACATGACCCTCACTCAACTCCCCTACCCCATGGAAGATGCTTGTGAGCTTGACCCGAGGAGACTAGCACTCACCCCACTCCACGAATCTCTTCACAAATCTGGCTAGCTCGGGGTTCCTAGAGGAAGAAACCCATTCAGAAACCACAGGGCAACACCAGCCTTCCCAGGATGGGGGTCCAAGAAGAGCAACTCTGCTCAGCACACTGTCATGGAAGCTTCTACTCCTCCACAAGCCCTGAGCCCCCTCTTGGCCCCCACTCCCTCTCTGAAAAGGCTTCCTCTTTTTGAGATGCACTCCTCTCTCTGAAAGCACCCCTCTCTTTTGGTCCCCATCAGCCCTTTTGGTTCCTCTTTTCTAAGCCCCCACTACTCTCTGGGCCCCATCCTGAGTCCTTCTCCTCCCTGGGCTCCTCCCCTCCTGAATGCCTCCCCACCTTGGTCCCATACTCACTGTGTACTTCAGGATCCAGGCCAAGAAACACTTGAGTAGGTCTGGCAGGCGGAGCCAGTTGACCATTCCCTTTATGCAGGGGTCCACAATGTCCCCCTCACTGAGGAACCACAGACACATATCTAGTCAGTTATAGCCTTTCAGCCATTGACTGGCTCCCGTACCCACCCAACTCCCATTCCGGAGGCAGCCCATGGAAGGAGGTCAGACCCAAAGAAACTCTTCTGTTTCCACCACCACCACCCTGGAACCATGCATGATGAAGAAGGAGCCCAAACAGCTGACTTGCCATTTAAGGTCACACAATTAACCAGAGGCACCCCACCAACCCAGGCCTGCAGTCCCTTCCTAAGGCACAGGTTGCTGCCAGCCCCACCCCCAACCCTGTTTTCACCATGCCCCATGTCAGAATCCTGACAAACATACAGCTTCTCCAGAAGGGTGGCCCCTCCATCAGCAAACAGACCCCCCTCGAACAGGTGTTTGACAGCATACTTTATATGGGGGATGGAGAAGGGGATGACCTGAGAGACAGAGGCTGAGTCAGGGCCTGGGGCTCCTCCCACCCTGCCTGGTATTCTCTTTGCATCCTTCAGGATTTAAAGAGAGGATACCAAATCGCCACTCATCTCCATCCACTCCAACCCCTCTGCTGCCATGCCCAGCCCTTCACCCTACACAGAGATGCCATGGCATTCAGGCAGCCCTGCCTGCTTCACTGGGATCCTGCCCCATTCTGAGTGCTTCACATATGTGAGCTCATTTAATCTGCACAGCTGCCCTATGTGGTAGAAAACTGAGGCTCCAGGTGGTTAAGAGACTGGCCCAAGACCACATAGTACACATGTGGCCAACCAGCAGTTCTCAAAGGGGAGACAGGACCAGGACAAGACATTGGAGGGAGGCAGGGGCTGGGGAGGGAAATGATTTTGGGGACATAGTTCTCCTTACAGCCATTTGATGGAGAAACCAAATCTATAGGAATTATAGGAATGAATCCCTGGTCCCCACCACTGAAGGGGGAGGATGCAAAATCTTGATGCCTTCCTCACAGGGTGGGGCCCACCCTGCCCCAACCTGCACCCATCAGTCTTTTCCAGGAAGCCTAGGGGAAACACAGTGATGTTAGCAGCTCAAACTCAGATTATGACTTCCTTTCTCTCCAAGAATGGCCCAGCCCAGTCTCCTCGCCAGTCTGGCTTCCCTCCCCATCCAGGGGTAAGCAAGCCTACCTGATGTCCCGCATCCTGGAGCAGCCTGGAGGTGAGCCTCACAGCCCTGGCCATGCTAGGAGATGGCTGGGTGAAGCCATCTGTTTCACAGAAGCCAATTCGAAGGCGCTGGTTACTGGAGTATACCTGGGGGCAAGAGGGGCTGGGTGGGGCTCTCAGGAGAGACTACACCTCTTTAAGACTTAAGACTTGTAGGCTGGGACCTTGGAACACAGCTGTTTTCAACCCAGGGGAATCTACAGAGGCTCCCCAAGAGCTCCCTGGAGACTCTCTACATACTTTGCAGGCTCTAGGTCCTCTGGAGAAACTCTTGGAAGAACAAATGGATGAGGACATGATGATTGGGTGGATGGAGTGGATAGGTAGATAGATGGTAGATAGATTCATGAATGAGTGGGAGGGTGTATGTATGAGATGGTGAATGGGTGGGTGGGCAGAGGGTTGAATGGATAGATGGGTGGGTGGGAGAATGGATGATTGGAATTGAGTGGGTGGGCAGTTAAGTAAGTAGATGAATAGACACAAAGATCTTTAAGCTAAAAAAAACAGCCAGGAGACAATGGAGATGGAAAGATCAGTAGAGACAAATAATAGATGACAGAAAATGATCACAGGTTAATTATACTAGGATGTGAGTAGGGAATCAGATGAGTAGACATTGAATGAATGGTAGACAGAGACTCTCCCTATGGAGAGGGTTCTGGAGCAGACAGGGCTGGAGTCAAAGCTTACCTCTTCCAGTTACTATCTATGTGATCATAGGCAAGTTATTTCATTTCCCCTCAGTTTCCTTGCCTATAAATTGAGAAGCACAATGCTCATTCTATATAGTGAATATTAGGATGAACTACAAAGAGCCTGAACATAGTAGGTACCAATAAATTTTGTTGAATGAACTACTGAGTAAATGAAGGCTGCCAGCCTGGAGAAATCTTCAGGTGCAACCTCTTTATTATACCACTGAGGAGACTGGGGCCTAGAGAAGAGATGTGACTTGGCTAAGGTTACCTAGGGGACTAACAGCCTCGTTTAACCAGATACCAGACTCTCTAAACCATATCTGCTGAGTGTATGTCTGTGTGTGTTGGGTATGTGATGATGAAGTCCCTCTCTGGGGGCAGTATTGGCTATGACTCCAAGTAGCTGAGAGGCCAAAGCAGCTGGTGTTGAGCAGGGGTAGGATGTAAACATGACTGAGTATAGAGGCTTCTTGGTCACTGTACCATGGGCTGGGAAAGGAGGTCTCCACAGAAGATGGTCAGATGGTAGACAGGTCAATGAGGAATGGGGGAAGGGAGAGGTGGCCTGTTCCCCAACCCAGCTCACCTCCTCCCTGAAGGGCATAAAAGGCACAGTAGGGTCCAGTCGGTGCATGTCTTCACTTAGCAGGGCTCGCAGACACAGGGCCAGGCTCTCCACATCCCGGGCCATGGGGCCAGCCACTGTAGTCACTGAACACAGAAGAGGCAGATTCCTCTCACCCTTTCTGCTCTGGGGACCCCCACTGCCTGGCCTCAGAGGGTGGAGCTCAGGACCGTGATCAGGGTTAAAGGGCCCTGGGGCCAACCTGGGCCAGGGGTTGAGGACAGGTAGCGTTGGCACACCAGACAAAGTAGCTCTGATGCCTGAAAGAAGAATCTCATCTGGGGCCAAACATCTAAAGACCAGTAGGAGAGATTAAAGCTAGATAGTAGGAAGCACTTCTCATTGGACTAGGGGAGGCCTGGTGGGATCCATTCTTTATCATTAGTGGGGCTAATCTGTCTCAGATAGAGGCTGAGTGAAATGTCCTTGGGAGGAAGGCTGGCAAGTGTATCTTTGAATGGGTATGGACACAAGCACAGACAGGAGCTTACCTGATATCTTGCCTTTGACAGCACTGGAAACTCCAGAGAGGCTGCAAAACCCCCACCCAGAGTCCACCTCAGCACTTGAAGGGAAGGGCCCGAGTGCCCAGGCCTTAGCACCCAGCCAAGCACTCCCCCAGGGCCCAACACCCAGGAAGATGAGCTGCTTCAACCCTCCCATGACCCTGCTGCCCACAGCATTAAGTCTGATCTTTTTGACTGACTTCAAGGCTCTGGAGTATCAACTCACAGCTTCCCCATTCTTGCCCTTCGACACACACATATTACTCCAGGCAAAGTAGGCTGTTCACAGTTTACAGCCTTCTAGGTTCTACACCATCCCTGCATGTCCATCCTTTAAAACCAAGCTCAGGTTCTGCCTCCTCCAGGAAGCCTTCCTTTCCCTTGCCCTGCCTCTGAAAGTTTAAAGTCTAGGCTTTTAATAAATCTCTGCTGAAGAAAATGTCAGCTTCATCTTGTGAGTTCTGACAAGCTTTGACACTCTCTTAGAGCTCCAATCACTTTCTGACTAATCCATCTGCATGTTTAAGAGCACAGCAGTGGGGGAGGGGGACAGGGACTGGGTCTGAGAGTGTTCTGTGTCCCCAGTACAGGGGCCACCACAGTGTAGGTTCTCATGGTGGGGCTGAGATACGTAGATGAATGAACAGAGGCAGATATGGATGGATAAACAGATAGCTAGATGACTGGATAGATGGGGAGATAAATGGATGGATGGATGGATGGATGGATGGATGGATAGATGAACAAATGGAAGGAAGGATGTATATATGATTTTCAAGGGCTGAGATAGGTGTCCTTTTGCTTACTGATATAGCCCAAATAACTAGTACAGTGTCAGTGACGGAAGAAACACTCAATATATTTGTTAGATAAATTAAATGGTGGGTGAATAGTGAAATTGATTGATGGGATGATGACTGCATAGGTGGATGAATGGACAAAGGATGGATAGATGGAAAAACGGTTGGATCAATGAATGACTAAGGGAACAGGGAGGTAGATGGATAGATGTAAAGATGAATGAATTAATGAACAAATGAATTAATGAGTGAGTGGAAGGTCTATTCTGCCACCTGTACCAAACATGGTGTGTTTATCTGGGGCTGAAGCAGGAGTTATTTGAAGCCCTCCTGTCTTTAGCCACTTTCACTAGTACTGAGCTAAGTGAATAAGAGTTGAGGGGCCTGCTTGGCACTACTCCCCCCACACCTCTGTTCCCCTACACTGGGCTGAGTCTACCCCTCCCCACCGCCCCCCAGCACCAAGTACCTGAGGCGGTATCCTGTGGTCCTGAAGCCACAGATACCACAAAAGCTGGCTGGTACACGGATGCTGCCAGCAGTGTCAGTACCCATGCCCAGGATGGAACCTCCTTTTGCCAGCAGGGCTCCCTCACCCCCTGAGGAGCCCCCTGGTGTCTTCTTTAAGTTCAGAGGGTTCAGAGTCTGTCCATAGATGGGGTTGCTGCAATCAAAACTGAGGGAAGCAGAAGAAAAGGGGCTGGGAGGTGAAAGTTTAACTGGGGAGACACCCCCCCATTTAGAGACTGATCCCCCCAGGAATCAACCCCAGGGCTTCTTTGGCTCCCAAACTCCTCCCTGGGGCTGAGTCTCCCAGTCTCCCTTACAGCTGAGGTGAGGTCTTTCCTGCCACAGGAAACACCAAGAGTGGACACCAACCACAACTCCTAACTTAAGGACAGGAGCCCACAGCCCTGCTGTCAGAATTGGGAGCAGCTTCCTCACAAAAGTAGGTACACTAAGTGCTGAGGGAGAGGAGAGAGAACAGGGGATAAGAAAAACAATTAGAGAGAGAAACTGGGATAAACACAGAGATGAAACTCTTCAGAACCTGAGAGTCTGAGGGCCTGTAGGGACTATGGAGTCCACCCAGACATTATAAGATGAGGAAGCTGAGGCTCAGAGGGCAGAAAAGACTTGCCCAAGAACCTTGATCCTCGGGATCTGCTTGACTGGCCCCCACCTCACCTTCTTCTCTGAATTGGGATTTTGTGTTGCTGTCAGTCCTGAGCCCAGCCCCAAACCCAGCCCCTGCCTACACACTTCAGAGACCTGTACAGTGTCTGAGGGATGTTGGTCTTAACAAAGGGAATAGCTCCTTGAGCCTTGAGCACTTGCACAATGACCCCATCCTTGGCCACTGGCTTCTCCAGGAACTGGGTCAGACCACATGTAGAATCATGGCCCTCCAAGAAAGTGACATTAACTCCAGCCCATAGGGGCCAGGATGCAACCATCCAATGGACAGACTCTCCTCCTTACTCTGCTCCCACTCACACACGTTGTCATGGCCTCAGATATGCACGCTGTACCCTTAGGAGAGCTCACAAGTAGCAGAAGAATATGGTGGGCAAGAGCTGGGTTCAGATCCTAACTGGCCACTTTCTAGTTCTGCATCCTTGATTAAGTAGCTTGCCCAGTGTCACACAGTCAGATGCTCACAGGCTCAGTGGCATATGGGCACACACACAGACATGTACACATGTGAACGTACACCTCCCGGCTCACCTTGCAGTCATAGGGGTCCTTGAGGCTGACAGGGACCCCATAAAGAAGGCCTCTCTCAGTCTTCCTAAGCTTCTTCAATGCCTGTAGTTGCTCCTCACACTCACCCAGGAAATCCGTCAGGCAATTCACCTCCTGGTGTACCTTCAGTGCCTGAGCAACATTGAGGGAGACCAGATAAGGGGCTCAGGGTGAGGCCAGGGATGGGGCACTCAGTCACGCCAGCCCCTCCCAACTCAGCCCACCAGCCCCAACTCAGAGTAGGATAGAAATGGCAGATGACAGTGGCATGCACCCCTTCCCAAGCTAGCTGCAGCACCACGATGTTACACCGGACATCTACCTCCTCTGAGTAGGACAACAACAGGTGCTAGCCCCCACCCCACTCCTGACCCAGACCCCCATCTCCTCTAAGTAGCTACACAGGACGCTCTCCACACTGAGTTCTTCATCCTGCAGCTTCTGGACCAGTGTCTCCAGGGGCAGCTCCAGGATGGGCTTGGGGTCCAGGGATGGCTCCTGTGGAGATGGGAGGACAGAGGTCAATGACTGATCCACTCCAGTGCACTCCTACACACTCAGCATCACATCCCCACACTCCACTGGATACACAGTTGCACACACAGCCATGTGTTCAGCACATGCTCCTGTGCTTCTCCTTTAACATGAAGAACATTTCCTGATCTGTCTCCAGGTTGGCATGAAAGCCCTACAGGGCACAGATGTTTCCTCTGCCTCTGCCTCTCCAGTGCCCATCCTGAGGCCTGGCACAGAGGAGAGCCTGCCCCCTCATCTTGCTACCCAAAAGGGACACAAGTGCAGTGAGAGTGACTCTATATACACGTTTTGGAACTCAGGGGTTATGGAACTGAGGCTCATCTCTGTATGGTTTGCCTTCACGGGGCACCCTGGCATCCCACCTTTCCTTCCTATCCAGCCCTCCCACTTCTGGTGATCTGACCTGGGAAAGGGCAAGATCCAGCATGAGTGTCAGGAGATCTGGCACCCAGCCTTGACCACACACAGGACTGGTCAGCTGGGTAACCCAGGGTTGATCCCTTCCCCTCCCACGGCTCAGGTCTCTCCAAAGAAGAAAGGACTAGAAGCCAATCATGATTTACCCAGCTACTCCCCTCAGAGTATGAGGGGAGGAGTGACACCAGCCCCTCAGGACTCTTATCAGAGGCAAGTGTGATAAGACAAGGACCTAGCGCACAGCAGGCACTCAGGAAGGTGAAATAGTCTTTCTTTGTCCTCCTGGGCCCCAGCTGAGACCCTGATGCCTACAAGCTGGAGTGGGGGCTGGGTGGGAAGACAGAACAGTGGGCCTTTCTAGGTCCTGGAGAGGGGAGGTGGCAGACAAGGGGATTTCCCCGGAGGTTAGTGCTCAAGGCTTCTTGGTTGTTAAATCTCTTGGTTTCTTCTTAGTCCCCATCTTACTCTCCTCAGTAGCATCTGACTCTTAGGCACTTTCCTTCTGGAAATTCTCTGTGCCCTCAACTCTCCTGGCTTCCTCCTGCCCCTGGGTGGCTCCTTCTCAGTCCCCTCTGCCCCTCTTCCCTCCTGTAAATAAATGTTGGTGCTCCTCAGGACTTGGCCTCCTCTCTCCCTACCTACCCACCCTCCCTGGGTGACTTCAGCAGCCAGATGTGTCCCAAGGATGCCCCGATTACCCTGTGACTACAGCCCAGGCCTATTTCCTGCCATGCCTCAGACCCACTTACTGACCCACATATCCACAGGCACCCCAGGATTCATTGTTTTAATACCAAATCTGTTCATCATGAAATTCCCAAGTGATGATGCTCATGTCAGAGCAATAGTCCTCAGAATCATCCCGGGTCACTCCCTCACATCCCAGTTCTGATGATAGTCATAATAGCTAATTTCAATCACATGGAAGATGTGTTATTACACTTAATATGTTCTAGGCCAAATTCCAAGCATTTTACATATAATAGCTCATGTTGCTCCTTATAACAACCCAAGGAGGGAGGGCATACTATTTTTTCATTTTACAGTAGAAAAGACACTGAGGCACAGAGCTACTTGCCAAGGACACATAAGCCATAAGTGGCAGAGCCTGGATCCACACCAGTCTGGCCCCAGTGACCATTCTCTTACCCACAAGTACTGCCGATAGGTGGTTCTGCCTCCTTCATATCTCCCACCTCTGACTCACCAGACTCCTTGCCTAGAACTTTCTCTGTCTCTCAGTTTTCTCAACAGCCTCCTCACTGGCCTCCCTGACTCTAGTCTTTACCCCTCCAGCTCAACCACTTCACTACAGCCTAGGTGATCCTTTTCAGATGCTGTGACACCATAGGTCCCAATTGCCCTCAGTATAAAGTTGTAAAACCATTCTCCTCAGTACGGTTTACAGGGCTTTCACCATAAATGTATAATGTGTGTTACAAACCAAGATTCACGTGTACTGACTGCTTACTGTGTGGCTGGCAACCATGTTAAGCACTTTGCTTGCACCATTTCATTAAATCCTCACAAAATCCCTTGGATAGGTGCTTTCATTATCAATATTTCTACTTCACCAACAAGGGAAACACAGAGAGGTTAATTCTGTGGCCCAAAGTCATAAAAGTGGAGAGACTTAAGGTCTACACCACCCTCTAATGGCTCCTGGGGAGGGAAGCTTTTATGATGAAGCACCTCCTGGGTGCCAGGCACTGTACGAGGCCCTTTCCCTGCCTGGATCCCTGTAGGCCCATTTCACCAGCCTCCTGTTTCCCTGCCCTACTTCTGTATTCTGCTGCTCTAGCCACACTGCGCATTCCCTCCACTCACTGTGCCATTTTGTCATCTTGTGCCTCGGCTTGGAATTCCCTGCCTGCGTGCCACAAAGACCTTCAGAAGGGCCCAGACCTGGATGCCTCTAGAATAGGGTGGGCATTTGGCTAGAATGCACCTCTACAGCCGCACTGTGGCTGAAATACTGAAATCCTCCTGAGTCACTTAGCAAAAAGCCACTCCCATGAGTACTCCACCACCCCCAGCTGCCCTAGCCCCTGCCATGGGATTCCACCTTCTCTTCACAGCACAGCAGGTAAAAGGTTAATGCCCAGCCCAGCAGTGACCCTCTAGGCATAGTCTCTGATTCCCTCAAGGACTGTGCTCATCCCTTGCCCTGCGGCCCCCAGCCCTAAGGAGCCCCAGTAGGGCCCGCCGAGGACCATCGCAGCACACACTGACCCACAGGCACCCACCAAAACTGCATGCCCATCCTGACTCCTACATATCTACCTGGAGAGGTGGCCCCCTTGGTGGCACCCTGGTCGGCAAGTGCCCGATGTCCATCTGGACCCAGGAGGCTAGTGCTCCCCTGCAGTTGTCCCCACATGGCCACTTGTAAAAATGGCAGCCTCTCAGGGAGCTGGGGAGAGGTGTGAAGAGCAGGCAGAGGGCACTAATGGGGGCCACTGGAGGTGGCTGCTGGGACTGCTCTTCTGCCAGTATGGCAGACGCTCCAATGACTTGGGATGGGTGGGGCTCTCAAGGGTCCAGCAACATGTTCACCAACTTGGTTGAGTGCCACTTCCACCTAACAGAACAAATTCACTGAAACTCACTAAACGCCCACTCAGCAAGGACATTAGTTTTCTTATTACTCAAGTGAGAGCTTTCATTTATATGGCACTTGTTAGGGGTGCCTGAGTGGCTCAGTAGGTTAAGCCTCCAGCTTCGGCTCAGGTCATGATCTCACAGTTCGTGAGTTCGAGCCCCTCATCAGGCTCTCTGCTGTCAGCTCAGAGCCCCCTTCGGATCCTCTGTCTCCCTCTTTCTCTGCCCCTCCTGGGCTCTTGTGTGAGTTTTATCTCTCTAAAAACCTGTGTGCCAGGTGCCACTGTAAACACTTATGAACTTGCTTGAGTACTATAACTATAATCATCACCCCATTGTGGAGAGGAGTATGCTAAGGCACAGAGGAATTATTTGAAGTGTACACACCCAAGGAACATTGTTGATGTTGATGGATAGTATCTGCTTAAGGAGACTACAAATCACCTAACGACTCTCAGTTTATTGGGAGAGCTTTGAAAGATAGGGACATCTTCCAAAGATGATAGCTACATCAAAAGATCCCCACAGTTCTCTAAAAATTAACAATTTACTTGGAAATTATTAGGATAATTTGATGAAAGAACTGAGTCTTAACTTATATCATTTTCAAGTTGTTTTAACATATGCTTTGGTTTAGAACAAATCCCCCTCTTGCCAGGTCACACAGCTCCATGGACATCTGGCCTTCTCCACACTTAACTGCTGCTGCCTCCTGTTGTGGTTTGAAAATCAAAGAAAATATAAAGTTGTTAGTAAATTGATATAGTATTAATATTTCCAAATGGTTGTTAAGTATGTTTAATATCATAAAAACCCTCAGCCCTTAGGGTGGCTAATTTCCCCCTGAGGTGACCAGAACTTCCTAGCCAGCAGCCAGCAGCCAGCAGCCATGGGCAGCTTGTCTACTCCAGCTGACTAGGAGTATTTTTTCTCTGTGGTCTACATGAACACTGTCTTCTCTCAGGCTTTTCTCTCTCTGGTACTGCCTTTCCTCGTCCTTCCTGCTTTTGGAAAACTCCTACACATTCTGTAAGGCTCAGCTCCAACACCACCTCTCTGGGAAGCCTTCCCCACCCAGCCCTGTCCAGATGGTGCAAAGCCCTTCCTGCCGAGTCCCACAGCTCCACAGGCATCTGGCCTTCACCACACTCAGACCAGGAGCATCCTTAAGGCAAGTCTAAGTCAGATGTCAGATTCATCTTTATTATGAATCTGTCCCCAGGGTCCAGCAAAAGGCAAGACCCAGAGGAGCCCTCTGTAAAATTTTGCTAAGCTGAACTGAATTGCATTAGTTTGATCCCTGCCAGGGTGCGACCTATTATGTTTCAGCCTCCCACCTCCCTGGGACATAAAGCTGGATGCCTGAGGCCTTGAGGGTATCCCTGGGTTTGCTTTGCTGGGGAGAGAATAAGGTACTGTGAGCCAAGAGGCCTGTAGCCTCGGGGGGAAGCTGGAGACACCATGGGTGATCTCACCCCACACCCCTTCCACTCCTCCAGCCAACCAGACACACACACCCCCGGGTACCCGGCCCAGTAGCCCCATATCCCAGATGCCCACCTGTATACCAACCAGATGCCCAGACGCACACAGAACCAGGTGTCCTCACACATCATACACCCATGTACATGCCCAACCAAACATTCAAAACCAAACCAGCCACACATATCTAGATGTATATGCTCCAACCAGTAACACGACTCATACACACCCAGCCAGGCACACACAACACAAGCACATAACCAAACACAAGGAGCAACACAGCCAAGCATACACTTGACCAGTACACAATAAAACCACAGCAGGAGACACACATAAGCAGGCTCTGGTGTGTGCAATAAAGGAACCCAAACCCACCACCACACACTGATGGTGCACACACACACACACACACACACACACACACAGGAATCCTCTCCATCATGCTGATTCACCACAGCAACCCCATTAGCCCAGATTTCCTCCTCATCAACCAGGGAGGGGCAGCAACTCTCTGGGGGCAGATTGATTTATCCAACTAATTAGCCCCAATTAATATTAATACACATTCTCAGGAACTGCAGCAGCTCGGGCAGAGAAGCTGCCCCTTGGGGCCATCAATCACCATCTAGGGGACGGCAGAGGACACTCAGGAACTCCAGAGCATGGGGACGGCACCTCAGGCACTATCCACAACCCCCACTCCTGGGGCTCCCAGAGAGTCAGCCACCATCAACTAAAGTTGGGGACCCTAAGATACCACCCCTTGTAGGGTAGTTGGGGAGCCCAGAAAGGGGCTGTCACATCCTCCAGGCCCCACAGCAGAGCCCAGGAACAGTGCAAGGTCAGCGGCCTCTCCTTCCCACCCTGCTCTCTTCCACCCTAGGCAGGATCTGCTCCAACACCCATATCTCAGTACCTTCACCCAGCCACAACAACTGCACCAGTGCCTTGAAATGTCACCACCTAAGCTGTCAAAAGCCCCTTTTAAGACACATAGCTTTGGGGCAACTGGGTGGCTCAGTTAGGCATCCAACTCTTGGTTTCAGCTCAGGTCATGATCTCACAGTTCTGTGAGTTCGAGCCCTGCATCAGGCTCTGTGCTGGCAGTGCGGAGCCTGCTTGGGATTCTCGCTCTTTCCCTTGCTCTCTGCCCCTCCCCCACTCATGCTGTCTGTCTCTTTCTCAAAACAAACAAAGAAATAGACTGTAAAAAAAAAAAAAAAAAAAAAAAAAAAAAAAAAAAAGACACATGGTTTCCTGGGAGGATCCCATCTCCAATGACCACCCTGCGCTTTGCATCTATCAGGTGCTGTCAAACATCTGCAGAACTCAGTGGGGTGGGGATGGGAGAGAGACTATGTAGACCAGGGTTCCTGTGTCAGTGGGGCTTGGGGGTACTCAGGGGCTGGAAGAGACCTGAAGGAGACCTCCTGCCTCCAACTGCTTCCATCAGTTTATCTTATTTCAACAAATAGCTCAAGAGAACACCCACCATGTTACTGAGTCTTGTGTGGGCACTGGGAGAACAATGAAAACACACTGCCCCCGACCTCAGTGGGCTCAAAGGACATGGATGGAGTAGGAACTGACAGCAGTACAAAAAGCCAGCACGGGAAGAGCTAGGGGTGGGGGACTGTCCTCCCTCCCCCATTGCCCCAGGCTCCTTGTCTTCTGAAAGAGACAGAGTAAGGGTCCTGAGGTGGAATCCACCTATTGGGATGGAGGGCTGGAGGCCTCACGTATAGATATCCACCCACCTGCTGCCGGAGACACTTTGCCAGTGCCTCCATCTGCTGCAAAGCTACCACTCTACGCCTCTGTGCCCTGGGGATCTTGTTCCTTGCTGGAGTATGCTGCCAGAAGAACAGAGCAGCCCCCAGCAGGGCCAGCAGGAGCAGCACCAGCATGGAGTAAAACAGCCAAGCTACCCCGGGCATCGTGGAACCTGTGTGGATACAGCAACTGCCTCCTCAAGAACACCAGCTGCTTATTCTCCAGCTAAATGCTAGAGCGCCCTCCCACATCTGAGGCCACAGGGGGCAGGGGGCAGGGGCCACACCGGGCTCTACAGGTGGTAGAATTCAAACTCCTCCCACCTAGTTCTTACACCACCTTTTGTCCTGGGGACAAGAGCCCTTGTGCCTCAGGCAACGCAGAGGAATAGGCCTTGGCAGAGACAAGCCTGGAGAGGAGCCCAAGCGTGCAGGTCGGCAGGTGACCAGACTCTGGACAGATGTCCTCACATCCTTCTCCCCCATCCCACCTCTCAAACATGGCACCAAAACCATCTTCTAACCCAGGCCAGTTCTTAATGGAGTTGCCTCTGAGATTTCCTGCTGCTTCCAGGATAACCGCCAACCCCCCTTAAAGTGGTTCACAGGCTCCATAGAAGTGGACTGAGCAGGTTCACTCTGGAGGGTGTCTGGGGAGCAGGCAGAAAAGAAAGGAGGAACCCTGGGGGAGCAGGCAGGGCTCCAAAGGCATCAGCCTGAGGGGAGATGGTGCAAGGAAGTGAGGACAGAGGCAGGCAGGTGTAGCCTCACCTCTGCCTCTGTTCCCCTAGCTGGGCCCTTACTGCTGACTCCAACACAAGGCCACATTCCTTGTGATTCCAGCCTCCCCAGGCAATTGGTTCTCCCTCCTGGACTCATCTCCCATCTTCTCTTTGTTCCAGGAGCTCCCTACAGGCAAAGGAAGCAGTGGAGAGGAGGATTGAGAGGCAAGGAGGTGAAAACGATGGGAAGATATGGGGCCCCAGAGCAGGAAGGATTGGTTTGGGAGCCCTTTGGCTCTTCTTGGATGTTTTGGCCCAGTCCTGTCTCAGAGGGGAGACAGGAGCAATCCATCACAACTGAGGCTGCCAGTCCTTGGGATTAGGAGAATGATAGTTCCACCCTCAAGACCAGGAAGTTAGAAGCAGAATTGGCAGTGGGGGGGGGGGGGAGGGGGGGGAGAACAGAGGGGGGTGCCTGGGTGGCTCAGTACGTTGAGCAACCAACTTTGGCTCAGGTCCTGATCCCCAGCCCCATGTCAGGCTCCCTCCAACACCAGGCATCACACGTGCTCTGCTGTGATGTGTCAGGCTCGCTGCTGTCTGCGTGGAGCCCGCTTCAGGATCCTCTGTCCCCCATCTCTGCCCCTCTCTCTCAAAAATAAACATTAAAAAAATAAAAAAGGATTGGCGGGAAGGAGATGGGTTTGTGGTTAGTAATGTTGAGTCTGAGCACCTGGGGGCTGCCCAGAGCCAGATGTGCAGTTTGCAACTGACCTGTCATGACCCAAAAGGTAACCCCAAGGTCATCCGCCCTCTGACACTCTGCGTCTGCTCCAACGGGTCTCTGGAACTAGCCCCGCTCATTGGCAAACTCCCCGTGTCCTTCCTCCTTTTTTCTGACCATTTCCTTCCCCCATAACCAGGCCTCCCTCACTGAACCCTGGCTCTGCAGATGGCTCAGCTCCCCCAGGCCATCCGACACCTGCACTCCTTTACAGCACCCTGAACCTTGCTACATCACCCTTCCTAAAGTTGCACCCCTTCATTAGCATATCACCCCATTTTATTTCTTCATTGCACTTACCATTAGCTGAAATTATCTTGTTTACTTATTCCTTGCCTTCCTCCGTAGAAAGTAAGTTCCATGAAAGCAAGGACCTTGTCAGCCCTTTTCAAAGTGCCTGGCACAGGGTAGGTGCTTGGTAATACTTCTTAAATGGACAAATGATGGCCAGGTTGAGCCCTCCATTCCCACCTTTATCTCTATGTGTCTCTGCTGGCTCCTTCCTAGCAGAATTTAACATGCTTAAGTCTCTCCCATCTTTAAAAAAAAAAAAGAGTCTCTCTGATTTATAGCCTTCACAGCTGCTGCTCTTATGTCTTTCCTCCCCTTCCCACCTAAGCTTCTCAAGTCTTCTGCACCTTGCTGCCTTTACTTCACCATTTGCTCTCCTGTGCCCAACCCATCTTGGCTTATGCCAAAATCATCCTAACCATCTCTTTGATGTTGAATCAGCAGCATTTGAAGCCCTCAGCCCCATACTTCTTGAAATATGGTCATTCTTTGGCTTGTGTGACAATGCAGTTCTTGGCTTAAATGTCAATTCCTGCAGGAAGCATTCATACAGGTGCGCGCGCACACACACACACACACACAGGCCAGAGCAGGTCCCACTTGGTTTACTCTCATAAAATAAATAAGAGGGGCACCTGGGTGGCTCAGCCAGTTAAGCGTCTGACTTCAGCTCAAGTCATGATCTCACGGTTTGTGAGTTCGAGCCCTGTGTTGAGCTCTGTGCTGACAGCCTGGGGCCTGCCTCAGATTCTGGGTCTCCCACTCTCTGCCCCTCTCCCACTCATTCTCTCTCTCTCTCTCCCCCTCCCCCCTCTCTCAAAAATAAACATCAAAATGGGGTGCCTGGGTGGCTTAGCCAGTTAAGTGTCCAACTTCAGCTCAGGTCATGGTGTCACAGTTCATGAGTTCAAGCCCCATATTGAGCTCTCTGCTAACAGCTCGGAGTCTGGGGCCTCCTTCAGATTCTGTGTCTCCCTCTCTCTCTGCCCCTCCCCTGCTCATGCTCTCTCTCTCTCTCTCTCGAAAATAAACATCAAACGTTTTTTAAATAAACACTAAAAAGTTTCTAAATAAATAATTTAGAAACTAAATTTAGAAACTAAAAAGTTTCTAAATAAAGCATTGATTCTGCATTATTGCACTTCTAACAAGAGTTTTTGTGTAATTATGCATTTGATGTCTCTTTGCTGGTAGAACAAAAGCTCCATGCAGGCAGTGACCATTTCTGATTGTTTACCCTGAGTATACTGTGGGAAGCATCCAAAATGTTTAGTGGGTGGAGGGAAGGATGAAGGGGTAAGCCGATGGGTGAAGTGAATGGAGGAGGATTTGCAGAAAGCCACAGGTGGAATATAGACTGGGAGTTATTTGTCTTAATGAGCACTAATGAAGGTCATGGTGGTGGATAAGATGAACATGAAGGGAGAAAGCCTGAGGGCAGGGATTGGCTGGGAGGTTTCCTGTTGGGGACAAGAGAAGGAAGTAGTCAGGTGGGCAAAATGGGTTCACTAATAATGAGTCATCCAAACCTCCATTCAACAAGCCTTTACCAGGTACCTGCTGAGTACCAGGCACCATGGTGGGTGCTGGACACACAAGAGCAAACCCCACATGCCCTGACCCCGAGCGACCTAAGACGACACACAGGTCACCACTCCCAAACTTATGTGTGGGAAACTGGGGGAAGGAGCAGGGGGCAGTCCAGGCTGGCTGGAAGGCTCAGGACTTATGTGGCTGTCTCTTAAGGGTGTAGCAGGTCAGATTGCCCTGGCAAGTGGCCTGCAGTGATACATCCCAGAGTCCTTCCTCAGCCCTGATCTGATCAATATATTTATTGGTGACTTAGAAGTTAAGGAGGTCTTGTGCTCAGACTTGTGGATGGGCAAGTTGAGAGAGCAGAAAGAGTGACCAACAGAATCCCAAAGGCTCTCAGGGCACCTGGGTGGCTCAGCTGGTTAAGCTTCTGACTCTTGATTTCATCTCAGGTCATGATCTCGCAGTTCCTGAGTTCAAGCCCCATGCCAGTGCAGAGCCTCTCTCCCCCACTCTCTGACCTTTCCCCTGCCTCAAAATAAATGAACTTAAAAAAAGAAAATCCCAAAGGCTCTCAATAGGCTGGAGCCCTGGGATGACCTAAAAGATGATGCCTTAACAGGGACAAATAACAGGTATACTAAGTGTTCTAAACTCCAATATCACAACCCCAGAGAGAGGAAGGGAAGGTGGAAAGGGACATGACAGACCTCCTGTCAATCTACCTTAGCAGAGGAGCACATCGCATGGACCTTGCTTCTGTCTCCAGTGTTTGTGGTCACCTAGCCCAGAACTTGCCACCCTGAGGGTGTGTCGTCCATGTTCTTGGAATTGTGTTACAAAAGCAGAAAGTACACGAAGTTTGGAGTTGGCATGTGGCTTCAAGTCTCTCTAATCTTTGGCCCTGGACAAAGCAGCAACCCTTTCTAAACTTGTTACTCCACCTATAAAATGGAAGTAAGAATTCCCATCTTTTTCCAATGGGATAATAGGTTATCAACTCCACAGCCTAACAGATGTTGGAATCTATTAAGACATGGAGTGCTTCAGAGTATGAACAGGAGCACAAAGAAGCCCTTCCCACTCAGCCTGCCAGTTGTAAAGTCTACCCTCACCTCAGATAAATGGGAGACCTGTAGGTGGAAATGTGAAGTAGAGCATTCCAGGAACAGCAAGTACAGTGAGCAAAAGGTGTGGAGGTGGAGGTGTGCACAGTGTCCCAAGCACCACCCGAGGCCTACATGGTTAGGATGTGGATGGGAAGGAGACTTGCCAGGTCAGGCAAGACCATATAGGTCACAGCCAGAAGTCTGACTGAACACAAGTGATACTAAAGGTTTCAGACATAATAAGATTTGTGTTTAGAAAGGTCACCCAGGAGCATCTGGGTGGCACAGTTGGTTAAGCGTCCAACTCTTGATCTCGGCTCAGGTCATGATCTCCCTGTTCATGAGTTCGAGCCCCATATTGGGCTCTGCACTGATGGTGTGAAGCCTGCTTGGGATTCTGTCTCTCCTCTCTGACCATCCCCTGCCTTTGCTCTCTCTTTCTTTCTCTCTAAAGAAATAAACTTTTGGGGCGCCTGGGTGGCTCGGTCGGTTAAGCGTCCGACTTCGGCTCAGGTCATGATCTCACGGTCCGTGAGTTCGAGCCCCGCGTCGGGCTCTGTGCTGACAGCTCAGAGCCTGGAGCCTGTTTCAGATTCTGTGTCTCCCTCTCTCTCTGCCCCTCCCCTGTTCATGCTCTGTCTCTCTCTGTCTCAAAAATAAATAAATGTTAAAAAAAAAATTAAAAAAAAAAAAGAAATAAACTTTAAAAAAAATTTTTTTTAAAAAGAAAGGTCACCCAACTGCCATATGAAGGACAATTGGAGAAGACCAGTCTGGACCTGGGGAGAGGGGAGAAGGCTGAGAACAGACAGTAGCCATGTGGTGCCCAGGGTCTTGAGGCTGCTAGACTGGTGGTCAGATAGGAAGGAGGAGGTGGCTGGCTTATGCTGTCACTCCTCCATGCCTCAGCATCATGGGGTATCAGGAAGAGCTCTCTGCCAAGGCTCTGACACAGAGTAACCCAGGTTTTGATGCTAATTCCCTTACTTCTAGCTGTAGACCTTTCTGTAAAAGGGGACAAAGATGCCCACCACAGGGTTAATAGGAAGATTAAATGACATGATGACTATAAAGTGCCCAGAAAGTAGATGGTTCATAGTAGGTATATGGTAAGTATCATTCAGACTGCCCTTCTCTCTTTTTCCTGATCAAAAGTCACCATAGCACTCCATGCATTAAATATTCAGGGTCTTCACCACCATACCCGTCTGCCTCTCTTCCTCCTTTCTTTCAACAAACACCCTCCAGAATGTGAGCTCTAGGAGGACAAGAATCTAGTATGTCTCACTAGTCCCTGCAGTGCCAGCACCCAGTACACTGCTTGGTCCCTAGGAGACGCTCACTTGATATTCACTGAATTAAGCACCTTATAAGTGCCACTCCACATGCCAAGAAGATAATGGTGAGCAAGACAACGTGCAGCTTTCAGGAAGCTTGTTTGAGTGGAGGAGACAAAAAACCACCATATAATTCCAGATAGCATCAGTGCTACAAAGTACAAAGGGTAACACATTAGACAGGGTCAGACAAGCTGTTTTACAAGTGGGTGATCAGGGAAGTGACACTGGAGCTGAGTGTTCCAAGCAGGGGAAACTAGTCAGCATAACACAGAGGCTCTGCAACAGGAACCAGCTGGAGATGATCAAGAAACAGAAAGGTACTCATGTGACTGGAGCACAATGGATGAGAGAAAAGAGCCACCCGAGATGAGGCTAGAGAGGTAAGCAAGGGCCCTATCCCACAGAGCCTTGTAAGACACGAGGAGGAGACTGGATTTTATTCTGATTCTGGGTGTGATGGGAAGCCATGAGAAGGCCTGAAGCAAGTGACTCAATCTGATTTACACTTTCAAAGCATTCCCACTGGTGATTGCATGGAAAATGGACTGGGGACCAGGTGCAGATGGAAGCAGGGAAGCCCCATTCGGTTACTGCACTGCCAGATGAGAGGCAGGTGGCATGGACTAGAGAGCTAGTGTAGCAGTGAAGATGGAACACAGTGGCTACTCACTGGCCCTGGGGACCACCTTCCCCACTCCTTGGCAGCATTTACCCCTTGTCTAACCTTTCTCTGAGCCCTAATCACCCAGGAGCAGATGTTTGAGTTAATGTCCAACCCCCAGAGTTAATGTCCAACCCCCAGAGTTAATGTCCCACAAGCCCGGGAGCCTCTTGAGGATGGAAGTCAAGCTTGGTAGAGCTCCAACACCACTGAGCACAGGCTGGGAAGGGCCACACTGGGGCTCAAAGGGTGAATCAACGAAGCAGTGAAGGATAGGACAGGTGCCTCCTCCCTGCAGCCTCAGGTCTAAAAGCACAAGGATATCAGTAACCAAAGAGAAAAGTGGGGCAAGAGGAGAAAAGTGGAGGCAGGTGGTTTTATGGAACCATATGAGACAAACTGACACTGCAGTTACACGGAATCAGGAAAAAATGCAGCACTACCTGACCGTCTCGACCTAGCTGTCTATGTGGGTTGGGACCTCTGGACATTCACTGGCTGCAGTGTCCACCTCCCCCACCCCTCAGCAGCATTTGACCCTTGTCTAACCTTTCCCCAGGCAGTGATCACCCAGGTTGCTGATGTGTTTGTGTTAATGTCCAACCACCCCCAGAAGCCCTGGAGCCTCTGGAGGATGGGAGTCAAGCTTGAACTGAGCACAGGGTTAGGCAGGGGCACCCACACTGGCCTCCAAGGGCAAATCAATGAAGCAGTGAAGGAAAGGACAGGCACCCTCGCCCTGTGGCCTTGTGTCTAAAAGCACAAGTTTATCAGTAACCAAAGAGAAATGGGGCAGGAAGAAGCCAAGGGAGGGGTACAGGCCAGGGCACAGATGATTCTGTGGAATGATATGAGGCAAAATGACACAGCAGTTACAAGGAATCTGGGCAAAGTGCAGCAAGTATCTGGCTGTCCCAATCTGGATGTCCATGTGATTTTGGTCTTGAAGTGTGAGACCTCAGGCCGAGCAGGGATACCACTGTCAGACAGTGGAGGTGCCCCTGGCCATGTAACCTGGAAGGCAAAGTCCCTCCAAAGAAGTAGGAAAATCAGGGTGGAGAAGGAAGCCTTGGGAAGGCAGCTTACCCTGAAAAGAATCTGAAGTGGGCCAGATAGGGTTAGGACCCGCCTGGCCTGAGGGCTTAGGCTCAGAAACATCTTCTGCAGTAAGTAGGGGAGTTAGAGCTGGGGCCAGGGAAGAGTGAGCTCTGCTTAGTGGGCCCAGACTAGTCATAGACTAGTTGCCCACCCGTCAGGCAACACAGTCCTGTAAAAGGTGGGCTGGCAGATTGGGCAGAGGTGAGACTGAGCTGAGACAGCTCACTTCCAACCCAACTGTCAATTCCCAAACCACCTCTCTGCCTACCCCTAGGCCACAGCCCTAGCTCAGGCCTCAGGCCCCCTTCCTCAGATTAGGATCATGAAGCAGCCTCCTTATCCCTCTCCAGGCTCTGTCCCCCAAGTCTGTGCTCTTTGCTGCATCTGTGTGATCCTTTAAGAGCTCCCCATTGCCCTTGAGACAGAAGTCAAGTTCCTGAACTAACCCCCAAAGTCCACCTTGATCTGGCCCCCACCTGTATCTCTGCTGCCTCTCCTGTACCCATTCAATACCTCCATCTACCAAACTTATCGTGGTCTTTTGGGTGTGTGGCTCCTTATCCCTCAGATGTCCTCATCCCCATCTCAGCTTCTGGAAACCTTCTACACTCAATACATGTCTTCCTCCTTCAGGAAGCCTTCCTAGAACAATCCAGTCCTTGGCCAGCCCTGTGAGTGCTACCAGATCGCCTTGTCTCATGCTCTCTTCTCGAGGCCTATGGGCCCCCTCCCCACAACAGAGCCAGCTCAGGGCCAGCCCTCCAGACTCCCTGCTGCCCTATGCCCAGCCCTTTGCTGGCCGCCGAGGACAAAGATACAGCATTAGAGTCCCTCCTGTCAAGGAGAACCAGCGTACTAAGGGAAGCAAACCCACCCACAGATGCTCACCACAGAGGACAGACTGGGAAGAAACAGTCCACCTAGTCCAGGGCTCAGAGGAAGGAGGGAAGGCCTTCTTGGGAAAGAGGGATCTGAGCTGGGCCTCGAAGGATTTAATGGTAGAGGAGCAGAAAGGGCATCCTTGGAGAGGGAAGGAGCAAAGGAAAGAAGAAGAGAAGGGCAATGCTTAGCAAAGTAGGGCTTTGTCTAAGTGAGGGGACGGGGGATGGGTGAGGTGAGAAGCCTGTGTCCCTCCTGTGGGGGATGGGAACCATGAGATTGCCGAGGCTGGAGTAGGGCTCAACCCCCAATGCCCTGACAATGATGGCCAGAGAGCATACAGACTAGAAACATTTCTTGACTGTTAGTGGGCTTTTGCCCATGTCACACCCACTGCCTGCCATGTGGTGGGTATGTCAGGGCAGAGGGAGGGATCAGAAGGGGGGGCAAGGTCCAGACTCAGGGCGTCTGTGCTTCTTGTAGAAGATCAGGGGAGGGGTACATGGAAGCCTCTGGCCCAGGCTGAACATTTCCTCACAGGGTGGCAGCTGTGCCCAGACTAGGCTGGGCACAGATCAAGTGGATCTCAGGTCCCCAGAGCCCAGTGGGTGGCAGTCAGGATGGCTGCTTTTCAGGGGTCATCAGTCGCTCCACCTCCCGCATGAACCGCAGACACAACTCTTCTTGCCAGGGCAGAGCCACACACTGCACGGCCACGGGCAGCCCCACGCTCTTCTTCACGGCCTGTGAGGGACACAGGTATCAGGATGGGAGGTAGAGGAGGCAAGACCCCGCGAGGGACCAGAAAGCACCCCAGCTGGAGAGGAGGGGCAGCATGGCAGGGCCAGGCTGCTGTCCTTCAGGGTCTCGCATGAAGAAAGGTGAGCGAGGGGGTGCCTGGCTGGCTCAGTCAGTAGAGTATGTGACTCTTGATCCTGGGGTCATGAGTTCGAGCCCCAGATTGGATGTAGAGCTTACTTAAAAGAGAAAAGGGAAAAAAATGCAGGCAAGGACTACATGCACTCATGCTGCTTCCTTCACAGCAGCCAGCATTGGGGTACGGGTGGGAGTCCAGGGGAAGGGGTACCCTGAGGGCCAAGCCAGGCCCTGTGGCCTCACCTTCTGTAGCGCCTTGTCCCAGATATCTCCAAAGTAGCCCCTGTAATGTTCCATCTGAGCCTCGTCCTCAGCGGTCACTGTGGTGACAGGCACCACCCCCGCTGGGAAGTCCAGGCAGTTGTAGAGCAGAGTGTAGCTGACAGCCGCTGAAACACAACACAAGCGGCTACAGCAGGCCAGGCGACCTTCAATGCCAACTGTCTTCTCTGTACCCCAGCCTTTCATCCTGGGAAATGGCACCCTGCCTCCACAGACAGAGAGGGGCTCTCTCCCAGGGCCACAGAGATTCAGGTGAGTGACAAAGCTCAGGAATCCAGATTCAAGGTAGGCTGGAGAGCCTGCTGGGGCTTGCCCTGTGCCCTTGCCCATGAAGCTTCCCCACCTGGAATGTTGTTCCTATTTTCTTTGCTTATCTAAATCCCACCTGGACTTTAAACGCCACCTCCCCAAACCATAGACTCTGTAACTCAAGATCTCCAACTTCAGTAGTGCTGTGAACAGGGAGCTCATTCCCACCCGGGACATCCCACATGACTCCCATCTCTCCAGCCAGACTGTGAGCTCCCCAAGGGCAGGGCCCTCCCCAAGGGGTGTAGCCCTCCCCCAAGGCTCCTCTTCTACTTCCCAGCAGCCTTCTGGGCACTGGGCTGAACTTCCAGAGGAGGAAAGGCAGGTGGGAGTGTCAGGGGTGTGGTGGGGCAGCAGGCCTCACCTGTGGCCCTGCCGGGAGCATTCAGGTTCAGAGCAGGGCCCAGCATGGGGGTGAGCAACACATCCAGGTCCAGTGCTCTCCACTGGGCAATCACAGAGTTGCGGTACACCTGGGGAGGATGCCAGCAGGAGCCCTTGGACCCAGCCCATCACAGGGACTCTCTAATGAAGGGACTGTGGCCAGGGTGGCTCGGGCCCCAGCACCTGCCCCTGGATCTGGACTAAGCCTGGAAGGGATGGAGGTCCTTGGGGCACACAGGCATGGCCACTCTCAGGCAGCATCAGTTGCTCCACCTCCCACACGAATCATAAACATCATTTTTCCTGCCAGGGTGGGGCCACGTAGTGCCAGACAGCACCAGTGGGGGCAAAGAGGCAGCCAGGACAGGAGCTGACTGACCCAGCCCCTAAGGATGAGCACCTAGGCAAGTGAGGATCACAGACCAGTCCAGGGAGCAAAAGGGGGAATGACAGGCTACTCCAGGGGACCAGAGGGACCAGTGGCCAAGAGAGCCCACTGGTAGGTGTCGTGTCCAACTCCACCCCATCCCCCACCCTACTCCACTCTAGAGGCTCTGACCTCACCTCAATCTCGTACTGCAGTTCCCAGAGCTTTCCAGCCGACCTAGGCAGAGGGAACGAGGTCACTGGCCATGGGGATTTGCAACATCAGACTCCTACTCCTAACACCCCCCCCCCCCACCAGATCTCAATCCTCCATGGGCACTTCTCAACTATGGGAGCTCTGAGACAGATGCAATACAAGGGAGAATTTCAAATCCCTAAGTTCATGTCCTGCTGAGAAAATCAGGCCCCAAGAGGGACTTAGGCTATACCACTTAGTGACTTCACAGCACAGCCAGGACCACATCAGGCCTGATTCCCAACTACCCTTAGTACACAAGAGAGGCCAGAGCTGCCAAAGGTCCTAAATGCCTGGCAGTGAGAGAAGGGGCAAGTCCAGAGGATGTCAGGGCCTAAAAATAAGGCCATTTATGCCCTTTTCCCACCCGAGCCACTAAGGGGCAGGCAGGACCCAGTGAAGCTCAGTTCATGTCAGACCTCCAAGAGCAGCGTCTCTCACAGGTTCCCAAGTAGCCCCTCTCCCCTGTGCCTCTACGTGCTTCCTTTCCTGGTCCTTTCTACCCATGCGTAGCCAGGTCTTCTCGTCTCCAACCCATCCTTCCCGTGATCCCTTTCAGGCTCCTCCTCTCTAGCCAGACCTGGACCCTGAGAAGGCAAACTTCAAGGTCCCATCTGAAAGCCACAGAGGTTGCCACCCTGGCTGGGCCACTTCCACTCAGAAGCTACTTCCCCCATCTCTTCCTGTCAGAAACCACTTAACCCCAGGTCAGGGGAAGAGGGGGGTGGGATCTAGGCATAGGAAATGTCCTTACCGGGACTTCATACTGCCAAGAAAGGCTGCCATCCTTGGGAACTGCCAAAGGACAAACACAGTGTTAGTGACTCAGCTTTGGGCTGAGTGCACCCAAGCCACCTGTGCCTCTTTTCCCTCTGTCCCTTCCCCCAGGTCCCAGGTCAGCACCTCTTTTATTTATTTTTTTTTTCAATATATGAAATTTATTGTCATTGGTTTCAACCTGGCAGTGCTCATCCCAAAGGTGCCCTCCTCAATACCCATCTCACTTACCCCACTCCCCTCCTCCCACCCATCAACCCCTCCAGTTTGTTCTCAGTTTTTTAACAGTCTCTTGTGCTTTTTGGCTCTCTCTCCTCCTCTTTTTTTTTTCCTTCCCTCCCCCCCCGTTTCCTGTTAAGTTTCTCCAGGATCCACATAAGAGTGAAACCATATAAAGACATCTGTCTTTCTCTGTATGGCTTATTCATAGCATACACTCCAGTTCATCCACGTTTGCCTGGGCCATATTTCATTCTTTCTCATTGCCATAGTACTCCATTATTATTATACTATATTACAATTTCTTTATCCATTCATCAGTTGATGGACATTTTAGGCTCTTTCATCATTTGGCTATTGTTGAGTGGTCAGCACCTCTTTCTTTGCAGACTGGCTGAGATTGCTGCAGGGTGGGGTGGGGAGAAGAGAGGAGGCATGGGTGGGTTGGAGAGAAGGGAGGAGAAGCCATGCTCACCCAAGCCAAGAGGAGAGGCGGTGAGAGGGGAGGAAGAGTGGGAGCCCCACCAGCCCACCCCAGCCCTCCTCCTTGTGCCCTCACCAGAGGCTTTGCTTACTTGGGAGAAAGCCAGCAGTCCTTTCAAACACCTGGGTATCTTCAGAACTGTGGGTCTCCCAAGCAGGGGTCCACAATCACCTTTTACCAGGAGCCAAAGGGTCCAGTTCCTTCACTCCCAGGCCTCCCCTCCTGGCAGGTCCAGTCAGCGCACTCCTACTCAGTGTGTCTCTTCCAGTGACACCCCTCTGGAGCCTCCCTCTTCAACAGACTCTGGTAACCACTGGTCTCTCTTCACCTGCCTCCTTTTATTTATTTTTTTATTTTTCTTTCTTTTTTTTTCTCTACCACCTTAGGCTCAGAGACACAACCTGAGATCAGGCAACCCGAGATGCTTTCCCAGGCTAGGCAACCAGACTACCTCCTTTTAAACATGACTTGTGTTTCTGCCTGCGATGGCCTGGGATGCCTGGACTCCCTCACACTGAATTCCCAGGACTCTGTGTCTCCCTCCTGGCAAACTCAGCTTAAAAGCAATAAGGACTCAATGAGGCCCAACAGCTCCTAATAGCCCAGGGGCACTGAGTATCCCCTGTAAATGCTGATGTTTCCCAACTAGAGGAATTTTCGCCCGGAGCCATGCACACATCTCCAAACTTCCCAGGCTGTCTCAGCTCTAGAGTTCAGGGAAAGGTCTCAGGAGGCTGATCCTAGGGTTCATTCCAGAACTGAGTGACAGCCTTCTGCTGAAGGAAAGCCTGGACCATACTCATAAGAGGAAGTCCCAGTCAGCCAGCACACATAGGCACCTTCACAGATCTATCTTCCACTCCTATCAGCCTTATGGGACCAAAGGAAGCTGCCTCTCTAAACATGTAGGCTGCTAAAAGTCCTTAAGGTGGTGGGGTCACCTATGGTGGCTCAGTCGGTTAAGCGTCCGACTTCAGCTCAGGTCATGATCTCACGGTCCTGGTTGAGGAGGTAAATTAGGGACTCTTCTTAGCCAGAGCCTGGAGCCCAGTTCTGTGTCTCCCCTCTCTCTCACGACCTCCCCCATTTATGCTCTGTCTCTGTCTCAAAAATAAATAAAAAATAAAAAATAAAGTCCCTTAAAGTAGGCCTGGCCCAACCCACCCACTCCTACTCTACAGAAGAGAAAACTACTGAAAAGGCAGACTTGGCTCAAGTCAGATGAGCCTGGAGTCACAGCATGATGTCTAGATGTCTCCCTTCCTGCTTCATCCTGCCCTTGTCTCCCAATCTTCCCCAAATAGACAAGCAACTCCCCTGCCCACCTCCTACCTCCCAATGAGCTCCCATCAATTAAGCTCTGCTCAATCCAGCCTCCCCTTGAGCTGGTACCTTTCTAAAGCCTCCCTGGCAAAGGATCTCCAGGCTCAGTCTGCACAATTAGAGGGGCAGAGAGGTCCCTGCCCAGAATGCTCAGAGCTTCTTTGTGTTCAGCTGAGGCCTGTCCCCATCTTCTGCCAGATTGGCCCACACTGGGAGTAACAGAACCCATTGCTCTCTCTGGGTCTAATGTCCCCACCCCAGACCCCAAAGTCCACATCACTCACAAGTTCTGTAGGAAGCTGTGGCCACCATCACTGAACAGCCCACCTGTTGAGAGGATCTCCAGAGCATGGGGTATATTGCTTGGCAGGAAGGGGATCAGCTGCAAGATTAAGGAGTATAAGGCCCCCACACCTAAAAACCCTTGACTCCCACAACCCCCATGCTTCCCAGGCGGCCCTGAGGATGGACTGGACCAATCCTGCCTGCCTGGTAGCACCCCCTGGAGCCACAAAGGCAGCCTTACTGACCCATGAAAACTCCCTTAAAATGCATTACCATGAGAGAAGTCAAGCCAAGCCATACATGAACTAACTTTTCTCAGATAAGCAGAGTAAAGCCCATTGGCTCACCACCCTGGGATGGTGGGAATCTCTGGACAGTTGTGCACCATTGTTTGTAGTTGATGAGAGCCTCCCATATAGCACTCACACATCCCCAGCACAGGGCTGAGTTCATCACCAATCACTTAACTTAATTAATACGATCAGCCCTCTATCTATGGTCCCGCAGGAACACAGTTCCCATCCCAACCACAGAATAATCAGGGTGACAGGATGCCAGGGACAGGCAGCAGCCATGGGTACCAGGAAGGTTTCCCGAAGGAGGGGCCACAACAGGACTTCCAGGTTCCCACAGCCATACCGTGTGGCCAGCAGCCTCCAGGCTCTGCTTCGTCTCCAGCAGGGCCCGCTTCATGGCCGGGGTTGGTGTGGTATAGTTGTCGGTCTCATAATACCCCACACGCAGGGGCTGAGAGCTTGTGTAGACCTGGGGGCAAACACAGGAGTCAGAATCAGGTCAAGAGAGGGCAGCCCAAAGTAGGGCTCCCAGGGATCTTTGAAGCTACTCAGCCCCAAACACAGCTGAGAAGCTGCAGCCTGGATCCCTGGAAAATGACTGTCTGAGAGGCCAGCCCTTTCTGCCTCTGACCCTTTCACAAAACACCTTCACAATGACTCTGCAGGAGGGGCCCAGCAAGGATGAGGGCTCCCACTGGTCATATGATGAAACTGAGGCTTCAGGTTTTGATAGGAAGACGGGCAAACAGGCCCAGTACATACTGACAACACTAGGTCCAGAACCCAGGCATCCTGAGCCAAGGCCCTCCACTGCCTGTTTCAAGAATGCAAGTCCTGGCTCCCATGATAATTTGTTCCAGACCTCATAAAAGGGACCTCACCTCCTCCTTTCCTCCCTTTCAGAAAGGGGTTCATGAACCACTGGGTTGTTAGAATATCTTCTGCCAAGGAGCGGGAACTCACCCCACCAAGTCCAGATATTCTGCCTACCAAGAAACACCCAAGTTCTCCCTCAAGTTGTTCTCTGAGATGCGTCTCCTGTTTCTCAATGACTGCAGAAGAGGCTGGGGCCAGAAGGGGGGGCCTTTCCTCAGCAGAGGCCCCACCCCACCAGGCCAGTTTGGAAGCCTCAGGGTCTCCACATGCAGGCAAGAGCTCCATCTGGTGGCTGACTGCAGAGAAGCAGCTGACCCTGGCTGCAGACCCTTGAGGGTGGGTTTCAGGAAACAGAACCTCCAAGCCCTATCCACAATGCCAAGGGGCTGCTCTCTGGGCTCAGGAGCACCAGTGATAACCAAATTCAACCCCATGCCCCCCAACCCTGCTCACCTCCTCCTTGAAGGGCAGGGGGGGCACGGCAGCATCCAAGCGGAACATGTCCTCACACAGTAGCGCTCGCAGGCACAGTGCCAGGCTTTCCACATCCCGGGCCATGGGGCCGACTGACATTGGCACTGTGGGGCAGGGAGGGGAAGGAAAAAGATCACCCTACCCTAATGGGCTCTGAGGCACAAGCAAGGGCTGGGACATGGCCTAGGAGTGTGAGCAGAGACATGGAAGTAGGAACTCCCACCTAGACCAACCTGGCAGCCAAACACTGCCCCCAGGAGATGCAGGGTAGAACTGGATCAGGAGACCCCCCTCCACCATGGCACTGAGGGAACCCCAGACCTCACCTGCTACCTGTCCATAGACACAGCCCTTCAGGCCACTCTTGCTGGATAAGAAACACAAAATGTTGGAAACAGGAAATGGTCACCCTCTGCCCAACCTCAAACCCATACAGCAGCTTAGAACTCTCACCACTTTAGAAAGTAGGAACCAACACCAATGGTGCTGTGACATTCCCTCCCAGGAAAACCCCAGAGTGAGGGAATCCCTGCCTGGGGCCTAGAGAGGTTGAGAGCTAGGCCAAGATCATAGAGCAAGAGATCCAGGAGCTCCCTCCACCCACCACCCACACCATACCTGATGCGGTTTCCCGTGGGCTTGAGGCCACAGATGCCACAGAAGGAGGAGGGAAAGCGGATACTGCCTCCGATGTCAGTACCTAAGCCCAGGGGGGAGCCTCCACCTGCAATGAGGGCCCCTTCACCCCCAGAGGAGCCACCTGGGCTCTTAGAGGACTTCAGTGGGTTCAAGGTCTGGCCAAAGAGGGGATTACTGCAGTCATAGCTGGGGGAAGCAAGAAAGGGTCAGCTCAGGTCACACTGGTGCCAATGCCCCTGCCCCCACCCGGCACCCAATCCAACCTGAACATGGACTGAGGGATGTTGGTGTGCACGAAGGGCACAGCGCCCTGTAGCTTCAGCACCTGCACCACCACACTGTCACACTCTGCAGGCATGCTCTCGTTCAGGCTCAAGCCCAGTGTTGAGTCCTGGCCCTAGAGGGAGGGACAGGTGCCAAGAGGTGTACAGCTGATGGATCAGGGGCCCTTCAGCAGAGGGTCCACTCTTACCGCCATCTCACAGGCCAAGGCAGAGCACACCCATGGTCCCTCTCAAGGCCTCTGGACCTGATACTTCCTCTGAGGGCCCAGCGTAACCCAGGATGCAGAGCTGGCTGGCAGGGGCAGGGGTGGGGGTTGAAGCCTGATGTGAGGCAAGGGCATACCTTGTAGCTGAAGCACTCCTTGAGGCTCACAGGGACTCCATAGAGCAGGCCCCGCTTTGGGGCCTGGGACAGCTGAGTCTCACAGTCTGCCAGGTAGGTGGTCACACAGTTGGTCTCTTTGTTTACTTCCCAGGCCTGGAAGAGGGAGAAATGGACACAAGGCAAAGTGAGATTGGCCTTTTTAAAAAAAAAAAAAAAAAAAA